CCGAGGTGCCCCCCACCGCCAGGATACACCGGCATGGGTGGTGGCAATAATGCTGACCAGGCTTGGAGCAGCATTGCCAGGAACGCCATTCTCTCCAGGTGAGTTCATTTTTAGAGGGAAATCCTGACCACAGAGGTTGATAAAGTATTTCCATGTTGTACTGGTGTTATAGAGATCAGCCATGCAGTTAAGATCAGCCTGAACAGTGTCCATCCAGTGTAGACCACATTCACAACCTTGCTGACAATGAACACATTTGGGAAACAGGAAGTAATGGCATTGATTGCAATAAAGACTTTTTGAATTTTTTGTCTACATGGACACAATAAATATTTTGAGGTGGGTTGACAGTTCGCAGTAGCCCTTCAAAGTTCTGCACCTATGGATACAAACAATCTAATTTGCTTCCTAAATGTCTTGATGCATGCTCAGTCATCCAGGTAAGTAAATCTCCAAAAGTGGATTCTGGGCATAGCGTTTTGTGGGAGAAACGTTTCGTCACTCATCCAAGTGACTTCTTCAGTCTCAGCTGACTGCAGGTTTCCCCAACCTTATAAACAGTACATTTGCATAATGACTGAAACCAGCCCACTGAAGGAACAATGGGCTGGGAGGACAGTTCCTTACTCTTAATAATGCAAATTCTCATGACCATCATTATGCAAATGTATTGTTTATAAGACTGGGGAAACCTGCAGTCAGCTGAGATTGAAGAAGTCACTTAGATGAGTGATGAAACGTTTCTCCCACAAAACGTTACATCCAGATGAACAGAATCAACTTTTGGAGACTGCTTCCTAAATGTTTTTGCTGAAATTGTTTAAATGAACACTTTCATGGTTATTTAACAAATGATCAAAACTAAAGTACCAATGTGAGATATAGATCATTCCTATAACACCAATTTTCTGGTAATTTTTTTTTTTCGAAATATTTAGCTCACACCATGCTCCCTGTATGATACATTATAAATTTAATCAATTTGAACTTTACGTATTTAGATCTACGGCTAAGCGTTGCAGTAAATTATAGGATATACATACTGCTGAAGACTGTGTTGCTGTTAAAGTATGTTTGGAGGCGTTGCACCCCGGAACCTTAAGAGGTTTTTCAGGGTTTTCCCTGTCAGAATGTTATGTGAGAAACAGTTTCCTGTATGTGTTGCGACTAGCTGCACTGTACATTTAATCAATTAGAACTTTACATATTTAGACCTACTGATAAACGTTGCAGTAAATTATATAACATGCATAACTTGTGATGTACATAGAGTAAGCCAGAGGAAACTCCTCTTCTTCCTTGCTTAATGGGAATGTTATGCATTTCCTGGTTATTTTGAATTTCCTGTAAATTTGCAGTTTTGAAG